GCATAAGCATTTCTTGTTCAATATTCTTCCAGCGTTCCTCGCATTCAAGTTATTCTTCTTTTGAATAGCTTATCTTATCTTCCTTATAGCAGCAGACTATAATCAGCAAACCTACTAGTTTGAGACCATTCTATATCATGTCCAGTCTATGGTATGTGTTCGACCACTTCCTTTACAAACATTTTCGTGTTCCCCCAAACTTTGTCGAATAGGCCGACATCTCTCACCAACATAAGGTCGACCACAGGAGCACACAATCTTGTAGCGGCCGGATCTCGATAACGGGTCATATTTCTCTCTTAAAGATGGCATACCAGAAGGTGTGAGTGTTTCTCTGAACACTGTTTTTATCCACCGCTTTCTCGCAAGTTCTCATATTTTTTGAAAGGGGGCATGACGGTAAATTTACAACATAAGAAGAGATATCCTCTTGTCTATCTTTGACTAAATAGTCTCTGTCTGTAGGATAATTATTTCTCAAAAACAAATTTGTCAGCCATTCCAACTCTTTAGTCAAATGGTTGCTATCCACTGGTGTTATACTTCTAATAATCATTAAATTCTGCCGCAACGCCTTCTTTCAAAAAAATGAGGGGAACTAGTGAGAAAGTGGGGCCCAAAATCTGTGTTCAGAGAAACCCTCACACTTTCTTCTGGTATGCTAGCATTTAGAACGTAACTTGACACGTTATCGAGATCTGGCTTCTAAATTACAGGATAAAGATAGGAATAATGAGGAGCATGATAATCAGAAGCCAAGTATTGACGGACGTGGACTTCTGAGATTTAGAATTGGACAAATTAACTCAAATATTTCTCAGAAACAGCTATCCAAGACAAGTAATACAAAGAAACACAGGGGCTATCAAAAACCAATGACAGGAGGGTGATTATGAAAGAACCGCAAGGATGGAGAAAGACTCAAAAGCGTATATGCCTACCGTCCTGTAAGTTAACTTAAAAACTACGGCCAATACTAAGAAAATAGAATATTCAGGTGACCACAAAGGAAAGAACAAGACTTCACAAGTTTAACCACTCAACATGAGAGGGTAGACAAATTGGACTGCTCGGGAATTTACTGCATAACATGCGAGGCCTGCAAACAGAAAAATGTTGGCAAAACAGGTAGAAGAATCAGCGTGTGAATCAAGGAACATCAAAGGCTCTGCAGGAAAATGGATACCGAAATATAAGAAACGGCTAAATACATTGCACAGATCCATTAGAAGGCAACGGTCTGCGTGCTACTGAAAGCTTGAGAAATAACGCCTGGAATTAAAGGTACACTGGTACTGGAACCGAATGGAATCGGTCGACCAGAAAGATTGGAAACAGATTTGCCGGTCTATGAGAGAGATCCGGATAGGAGGCCCTAGTCGGATCAGCAAATTGAGAGGGGGGGCAAGGTAAACAGCAAGTGGTTTGACGCCACACTAAACTCGCCAAAAAGGGCACCCCGTGAGGACTGAAATAAAACAAGTCAGCAGTTGTGTTAGCGTTGCAATGCGATAAGAGGGTAGGGAGTAGACAGAATGGGTCATAACAGAACGAGAAGTGACAGCACAACCATAATGTAGAAATGTAGAAAAACTGGGTTTCGAAGAGTCCCTTAATAAATTGATGCTGGAATACTTTTCATTTCGTTTGAAGAGGCGAGTGGAAGGGATTCATAAGTTGGTTCTATCGGAGGCTGGGGAGTTGCCTTGGAGCTGAGGTTGTAGATTTGTGCGAATAGGTCCTTGGCAGCAAAAATTTACCGGGATCACAAGGCAGTGCGCCGAGGGCATATTCGCACAAATATACAATCACAGCTCCAAGGCAACTCCTCCACAGCCTCCGGTGGAACCAACTTACGAATCCCTTCCCCTTGACTCTTCAAACAAAATGAAACGTACTCCAACATGAAGAAGAAAGTTGGTCGAGGGATCAACTTCACTTGTCTCTTTGACGAGTTGTAGCTTGGCGCTGAGAATGGCCGCAGGACGGTTGGCCGAGGATCCCTTCACACAATTCAAAAGTCTTGCCTTCGAAATGGAAAGTCATGTCACATTGGCGAAATATAATTCATTACAAATGTTAGCCCTATAAAGTAATTTTGCTCAGAGTGGCCGTACATTCAATTCCAAAATAGAATCTATATGAAAACCTCTATGGTAGGCAGGATTCTGGAAGCTGCAAAGTAATATTTCCCTAGGCTTTTACTCTCAATTTTATTATTTCAGATCTGTAATCCGGCCAACATTTTGGAGTTGAAGCCGTATTTGTATTTTTTAAATAGCCACCCAAAATGAATGATACTGGTTTGTTACTGATAAAGTTCTAAGCAGAATAATGTAATATTTCAACACTTCTTTGCATCTGACTCAAGCACATGAATATATTGTTTTTTACACATTTTTAAAAGTAGGTGTAGGCTCATTATATCGTGGACGGCATTCGTGAGCTTAAGCAACAAATGCTTCCACAAATACTAGAGACATTGTTGAACATCCACTAGCTTAAATACCGTCTCTTGGATGACCCTAGTGAGCAAAATTATTTAAATGAACTTATGCAGCAGCAGTTTATAAGGCAGCTTCATTAAATGTCCCAAAACGGTGGCAGCATAATCAAAAGTTGTATCCTTGCTATAAAGAGATATGAAATTGAAATCCAATGGTAGTAAAGAACCCATAAACTAATATGCAACGACAGCACCATATCACAATTTTCAAATACGACAAACTTGTATAATTCGGAACTATGGAGTTCCACATTTTTTCGGAGCAGTAAAAAGAGGGTGCCCTCTGCTAGAATACAGACGGAATAGCACAAGGCTTTAGAAAAATCCTCGTAAATTCACGGGAAATAACGCAAAAGCCCTAAATTACGCAAATGCATATGAAGAATGCGCTTGAGGCATTCTATCCATTAATTTTAGCTGTTTTAGATTATTCGCCCGAGAAACTGGTCGTAATTACTTTTGAAAGAAATCGTAATATAAAAAAATCAGAATTTGGGTCTCAGGTATCGAATTAAATATTCAACAATTCCGATAAGTGGACCCATTCAAAACTATTTGAACCGTAGTCCTGGAGGTTGAAAGAGTTTATTGATTGACACAACCCAAGGCAAAAGCATTATCCGGTTTTAGGAGCAACGTAATGGCTAACGTGTAGAAAATATACACTGCACTGTTGTGGTTGGAATCCCGTTGGGAGGGCTGATAAAGCCTAGGCGAGGTCGAAACTGCAGTCCACTTTGGATGGGAATATCCTCCGGGAAATCTATGTGAAGCTCAATGGGAAGGCAAAATCTGCTACATCAATGTGGAAAAATTCAACTACCAGTCCCCTTAACACATTAAACGAAGTAGGGTGAATACACTTTTCATAAATGGTCTACTGGTAGTCTTAAAATCCCACTTATAAACGGAAAATAATTTACAAATACCTCAAGGGCCTTTTTGCCGGGCAGACTGCTTCAGAGAAAGACAGAGTTCAGACGACTGTAGGAGCTCTGGAAACTAAAATTTAGCTAACAGTAATGGTATTTCCCAAAAATATTTAAAATGGGAAATGGAAGTTATTGCGACAATCTAGAGTCCAGATGTTAGACCAAAGATGAGGCCTAATGGACGAGCAAGGGGCGACAAGCATGGCTTCCCAAAAGCAGGGCCGAGGTTGGGCTCAAGAAGGGGAGTGGTGTCTGAAGGATATCTGATGTGAAGTGGGCAACCAAAATTACAAAAAGATCCTGCCTATTCTCTTGGGCCACTGATAAATTTCCAGATTCGTGCGACTCAAATGAAGGTCTCCGTGATATTAAAAGAGGATATCGGTCCACAGCGGAAACCTAGAGGCCAATCTTTAACTATTAGTATAAGATGGACCAATTAATTTTACATAAACCATTCTAACAGGCAATGGAGTATATATTAATTGATATGGATGACAAATAAGCTATTGGGACAGGCAATACCAGGAAAATAAGACAGTGAAAGGGTTACGATTGCTAAATTTATGATGAAATCTCCAAAATAATCAAAACACCAGAGGTGAAAATTCCTTCGACTATTATAATACTAAGCTTATCGAGTTTTCAGACAAAAAAAGGTATGACCGAAGCTGAATGGAGACAAAATAGCATGACCAGTTTGTAAATAAGGTGCAAATTCATTGATTTAGACGAATACTGCACACTTTACTGAAATCCATATAAAACAAAATAGTGATCGAACTAGGGTTACGTAATCCTATTCAAACTTATTAAATATAGATGCTTGATGCGAAGTGGAAGAGACGTAATATGATGCCAAGAGCATCTCTCTCATTTAAGGACAATTATCGGGATTTGCTTATGCATGAAATTCATGCGGATAATAAGCAGGAAATAGACTCAAAATCGGGCAAAATAGATGTGAAATAGAATATGTGGGGCTACAATAACCGGAAAAGCATTTAAATCAACTTGCCTACTTCAATTAACCATGATATGTGAAAAACATTAACTTTTTAAAGAAAAGAAAATGGAAAAAATACCTAGAATATACTAGCAAGGATAATAAAATTTTTATCCGATAATTACTGATATATTTGAAACTCTTATAAAATGTGAGAATTTTTAGGGAATAGAATTAATCTACAAAGAAATTTGGTTTCACAAAATCATTACGTTAGTCTATTAAATCGATTCGACATTAGCCTTGGCGCACGAATGTGAAAATGCTCCTAATAGCAGAGCCCCGACGAGTATTACGCTTAAGCAGAAGCTTTTGATCGAATAGGTATTTACAAGCGAAGAAGAGCAATTAATCGTTATATTTTATTTGGTCTATTTTCGTCATCTAGAAGCAACTTGTACATGTTTGGATAATTCAAGGAAAGAGAATAGAGATTTTAAAAAGGGAGAAAAGATTTAAAATGCATTTTATCAGACATTAATAGACGCTTATCATTATCATAAAATATTGATAAAATTTATGTAATGCATATGTACATGATATCATTAAAAGGAAATTATGAGGATTCTGTCAGAGGTGTACGATCAAGCCCGTTAAGTTCAGCATACATGTCGACTTGATGAAGAAGACGACGAACGTGCTCATCGACTGTCTTTGGGATATTTAGATCCCGGCGGTTGGGCTCGGCAGAGACCTGGACGGTATAATCTGGTCCATAGCGCTCAAGGAATGAGTGTATGGGAATATCAGGATCTAAAGAGAGTCTGAAATTACAAAGAATAGAGTTTAGAGAAAGCTGGCTTATATTGTCAAGGACATATATCACGCTTCAATGTAACAAGAAAATAATAGAGAAGCCATAAATAAAATTATGAAGCTTACAAAACTAAGAATTAACGTTACATGGCGTAAAATAGGATTCATTGTATTCTAGTCAATTTACTATGCTTGATAGATAGCAGATCATAATGACAAAATAAATTAATCCTATCGACGAAGTCTGAATTCATGTCCATTTTAATGGCTCTCAAAGATAGAGGTTTTTGTTTAAAAATAGACTCAAAGACTATAAAGAAAAAGGCTAATTTTTGAAGAATCCTTCTATTATTTTTCATATCGAAGGAAAAGTTAATTGAAAGGGACTTGTTAATTGGCCTCACCGGGAACAGGAGGAAAGCCTGGAAATGGAAAAGGTCGGATTATGCGAAGAAGTCATCGTTTCATCATCCTGCGACCTTGAGGAATCTGTAATGAGCCCTCGTTCCTCATGACACGGCGTAAGAGAAACCATAATTTATGAAAAAACACCATAAAACGAAACCAAGAGAAAAGGCGGTTGACAACAAGCTCAATTACTTCTTACACCCAATTCTGCTATCTTAATGAGATAGCCCATGATTGGATCGCAGATATAGAGACCAAGATAGCGTGGTCTTTATTCTAGCACAGTCTTCTTTCGCTGTATAGAAGTAATTTGATCAAGTTTTCGAAACTTGGTTGTGTTGTCAGGGCTAGCTAGATTAATGTAGTTTGCGCGGAGTCCTATGTTATAGTATCATGAGTATTTCTAGCATATTACTGTGGACTTAATACAGTTACGGTCAGAAGTAGAGATACTACAACTATTCGGCAGAAAATATTCCAAGGGAATGACTTAGCATGTCTCTTTGACTAGTTATAATTTGGTGCTGAGAATGGTAAAGCTGATTGACAATAACCGAGAAACGTTTGGGAATGCGCCAAATCTACGGTCCGCCTCTAGAAAGTATCGTGGTTACTATGATAGAGGACCCCTGACATGATGCCTTCATTAAGGCCCACCTAACAAACAAGTTGAGAAAACGAGGACAAACTACTTATAACTCATGATGTGATTGGCTACTTCACACTTACCTTACAAGATTGCAGATGAAGGAAGTCATTACAGAAAGAGGACATAGATTTGGTCAAAGTTGTTTGCTTATATAAATAAACTAATTCCTGATCCTGCAAAATAGGTGCATGGTAAGGTATATTGTACTGTATATTGGTTGTATGCAAGGTTAAACACATTTGGGGTGTGAAAGCATAGCTAGATTCAAGGCTATTTAGGCCTTCTCTTATAATCCAGCCTATCTAATAGCCAAAAAAATTACAACTCAATTTCCTACAGGATGCTGGCTAGTGTATTTATTTCTATAGCCCTCGTAATCTTATGTTTAAATGTGAAGTACCGGTAGTCTGCAAAATTCTGTGTTTTGGACGATTCTACTTCGCATCCTCTATTAACCATGTGTTTTGGAAATTCCGATTTTTAGACCCATAGCCTTTTGCGGGCAGCTTTGTTTAAGAAAACTTCATGTATGTGAGCCGCAGGTTGCCCCACATAGACAATACCATATAAACACAAGACCTTGTGACACCTGGATCTAAAAGAGCCTAAAATTCTCCAAAAAACGCATGGCTGAGAAAAGTACACGATTCTCTTCGCACGTTGTTCTGATGTTTCACTTCCTCATTAATTCATATATTCTTTTCGAAAGTTAACAGGAAGGCAACATCATGAACCGAATAGAATGGTGGATCCACCTGTCCTGCTCTAAACAAGTGTTTCACTGCACTTTATATTCAAGTCTTGAAAATAAATTTTCTACTATTCCTAGTAATTGTTGTGACCTAAAATATTATTCATATTTCTTATTTCTTGTTCCCAGTGATTTGCGTTTGCTAGACAGTGTGATAATCGATTTCGTAACCTCCCTCCTCAATTTGACCCCATATGCATAATTATAAAAGAAGCTAAAAAGTAAACCAGCGGGAAAAATCTTAAGTAAATGGATTATTAAATTTGGGGTATGCCTAATGGCTGTACCGATTTCTCCCCCTCTTCTTAATTATAATTCAGGTGGCCTCTTGCATGGTAAGATTCTAAAAAAAATAATTCTTAGCGTAGGTAAATGCGATTTTATAATATGAAGATAGCATTAAAAATTTGTCATACTGCTAGCATCGTAGCCGTCTTTTAAAGTGTAACTATAAAATGAGAGAAGACTTACTGTAAGCCTTTGGTCTCATCTATCGCAACCTGTGTCAGGTGAGTCCAGAGACGAGCACTATCTGCGAAGTGGTATCCACCGCCTCCCAATAATAGCGTGGGCAACCTCCAGGTAAGAATTCGTCGCAACAAGGCAGCATAACCACCGACGTGTGTCGGTTCATATACATCAGTCTCAGTTGAGCATGGGGGATGAGGAGTCTATAAAACATAAAGATTATGTTAATGTTGTAAGGTTTTTAGATTTTAAAGCACGCATACATTTAGATTTTAATTAGATACATGATTTTTTTCTGTGATCATGCAAGCAAGGAAGCAAGGAACTTCAAGCAAGGCTTGAAGTTGCCCCTTACTTACACCATGGCACTGATTCCAAATTAACAGTAATTTTGGAGGAATGCAATGACAGAATAAGTATTCTTTTCAGTTCACTGTGGATGAATTGTCTAATAGCGCTTATAGCAAAAAACGACAAATGCTGTATGTTATCGAAATCTGTATCCTTAATATTTGAGACTAAACGACCGGCAAAATAATCTGACAGTCGCTCTCACAAAGTAACACATACTATTGTGCTTGGCTACAGTGAGACACTTGATTATGTTTGTGGCATTCAGCCGCGAATTTGTCAGTTTAGGGAGCATAAGGACGTTCAGAAAAAAAGAAAAGCAATTGTATAATCCGAATTTCTTACATATCAATGAATTAAAGACGACGATTTTTTGAAACATTGATGACAGTAAACTCGCCAATAATTTTTACATAGAAGGCAACCATTCCAGTCAGATTTTAAATAAGTTTTTATTGGTTTAGAATAATCGTAATTTGAGCATATTAGCATATTAGTATATCGAAGGTATGAAAATTAAGATGATGCGGTCTCCTTTCATTGTATAGAAGTTGTTTGAACTTATTTTCGCCCATTGGTCATATTAGCACCTGGAAGAGTGCTCCTTGTCTTGAGTCAATAGTATGTATGATAATTTACGGTCGGAACGTGGATTTGGTACATTCTCAGACGTTTCGCCGGCATCGTAGTCGGCATAGGAGTGTACCAAATGCACTGTCTGGCTCTGGAAGTTTTTTACGCATACTATGGATTCCGGACAAGATGCGAAAACAAGGTCAAACAACTTTTAAATTAACTACGTTAATTGATTCAAATAGGCAATTCTTCCCTTAAAATAAACTGAAACTACCTGGCAGCTGTCCTGATCAACTGTCAAGCCAGTAACTTCTGTAGAGACGTTGACCACCTCCAATAATGCTTCGAGAGGTAATAACTTTTCCTGTGCTCCCTGTTCTACTTTGTCTGAAATGTCAAGAAATGCTGAATTCACATGGCCACAACCTCTGGGGGAACTGGACAAATTGAATATTCTGTGGGGGTCGGAGGCGAGGCAATCAGCGCCGCATTGAACAACTACCGCAGCCGGCCGAACCACTTGGGCGAGAGGGGCGAGAACACGCCAACAAGCTTCGGCCCAGATGGCATCTGTCGCACCGTCAGCTGTGGCAAATAAAAAGGCAGAACAAGACTAAAGTAAACTAAGTAAAAATATGAAGATGCTTTCACCCAAGGTGATGGACTAACAGTTGAAGTTTTACACAATAATATGAGTAGACCTTACGTTTTTATTGAATTTAACGGGCTTTTCCAACAAATATTATCATCTAGGGTGTACTCGAGTTTCAACCTCGCCTAGGTATGAAAATACTTTTAGGGAAGCTAAGCGATGTCAAATTTAATTGAGACGAAAGGTCTACTCATAGCATTCAACCATAATTCCTTCATCCCCTTATACGAAATAGATTGACAGATCTCATATATGATCTACTGGTAGCCTGTAAAACCTGCTTAAAAATGTCGAATTTAGATGCATCTTAGAGGGCCCCACGACCAATTTTCAAGCAACAAACTGGTTCATATTGAAATAATTCAAAATGAGTGATAACAATGTGTAGTTATTCAACCAGTTTCGAATTTCTATCGAGAGACTGTCAAAATAGATGGTTTGCAGACTTCCTGGAGGCAGACACAAAATCAGATCGAATAAAATATGAATAAATTGCAAAGGCTTATTATCTTAGAGAACAAGTATGGTTTTTACTAGAATTATTACCAATACCAGTGGTATAGAGATCGAGTGCAGCTTGAATGAATCATGAGGCTGAAAAGAGTTCTTGTTATAAGAGATTGGGCAATCAACACAAACTTTTTTTCGCGTTTTTAAATCGTAAATGTTGTATTGAAAATTAAATGGAGAACATTTGTAGGCTGGTCTCATTGTAAAGGCTGATTGCCTAAAAGTTTATAAGGTCGTTGAAATGAGCTAGGTGTCTTGCAGTGCACAATCCTCCTATACAGGACAATTCATGCAGGATTGCTGCCATTCATCTCACAGAAATCGTCGGATAAAGAGGCCATTATTAAGAAGAGTGATCATACGAATAGTGTTGTTTTGGAAAAAGAATTAATTGACCAACTTATTTTATTCTAATGAAAATCAGACAAATCTATGCTTTGAACATGAAGGTTTAAGGAGACTAGTCGGTCCCAGCATTAAAAATGCTTAATCTCCTTTCTAAGACTTTTAGACTGCCATAAGAAGAGCTTCATATAGAAAAACACATAAAGGTCTATTATGACCCATATGTCTTGTTGTTGACAAGTTGGAGAAAAATAATGCTTCTCAGCATGTGGGACTACACATTATAAACACCACCAAACTAAACCAAACACTAAGCTGCTAGAGAGCGAAAAAACGCGGCATACAAAGAATTATACATA